AAATTCACTAGTTGGTTGAGGACCCCGGGGTCCAAACACCGGAAGCGCGGCCGCGCTGTAGGGGCGCGCTGCGTGTCGGTTTCGCCATCCCAAAGAGGTTCCGGATGGCGCGTCACCACCACGCACCATTGCGTCTCGGCACCGTGGTTTGGTTCGGGAGCCTAGAGTTCATGTCTCTAGGGCATGAGTACGACTTGGTGCTCCTCCTCCTCGAGCCCCACCAACCAACGATGAAGTGGCGCCCGGCGAAGCCAAGGCGGGCGGCGTCCGGCTGGCCGTTTCTCGCCAGACTCGCCAAGCACGGCACGCGAACAAGGCCACCCCGACGCTACGCGAATCCGGGGCAACACGCCACCCCGCCGATATCCCACGACCATTGTGTTGCAGTGGTGCCCCTGGGTCGGGGACCCATCTAGCCCGAGCTTGGACAAAGGAAACTTGCTCGTGGCACGCCGGGCGATGCCAGTCGTCAAGCTCCGCCCACCACTCCTCAAGAGCCGATTGGTTGCTTATATAAGTAATCTGGAGACGGCACCGCCCCCATACCCTTTTTGGGTTGAGAAATGCTGTCGCCCAGACGCTTCACGCTTACTGCAACAGTCCGCTCACGAGCACACCCTCGAACGCCGCCGCTTCGCTTCGCTCTCGACCTGAGCACCCACTCCGACTTCTCGGACGAGGACGAGGCATGGCCCGGGGTGGATTTTTCCGGACTCCACAACCCTGGGGCTTTGCGCGCCGCTTGGTCGCGAGCGACTCATCGCCGTGCTATCCGACTCGACGACGAAGGCACCCAACGACCCCACTCGTGAATGTTTTCATGTCGGGTCGGGATGCCGAGAGCGGGAGAGAAGAGGACGAGGCAGCTAGTAGTTTCCCCCACTCCGCACAAGACGCAAGGCGTCGCTACACCTCCACGCGCCGTCCCGCCGCCGCAGACGAATGAGAACGTCGCTCTTGCGCGACCTCGCATGTACCTGCATTCTAGAACAGCCTTCGTGAGCTCCGGTGCCAAGGTCGAGCAAGACCAACTCCTTCGCAGCAGCCTTTCGAGACTCTCTCGAATTTGAATTTGCAGACTTTGTAATGCTTCTAGTTGGCGGAAGGCGGGGAGCCCGACGGAGGGCCCTCGACGTGCATCACCGCATCCATGACGACGAAGGAGCGAGCAACCCCGGTCTTCAATCGCGCTTAGCTGAGAATCGTCAGCTCAAAGGGGCGATCTTTGGGGTTCGCGCAATGCCGAAGCCTTCGATCATGGAGGGGGCGGCGGGTCCGCTGCAAACTCCGAGACCTCCTAGAGACCGCAGCGGTTCAAGCAAGCCGAGAGTTCTCGCCTCCCGACGCACACTGGGCGCTCGAAGTTTAACCAGGGCTGCACCACCTCGACAGACATGGGAAGCCTCGGCTCAGATTTAAACCGCCGAGCACCGATAGCTCATGTGGTCCCCATGCTCCTTGACCGCCTCGACAATCGACACGAGGGGCGGGGAGACCACGAGGTAGTCGGCCGACGAGCACGATGCCACAACGGTGAGGGGCCCACCGAGGCTACCATGTGCACCGAGGTAGCAACCATGACGACAGCCGAGGAAGACCGTAGCCCTTCTCTGAGCCACCGGCCTCGAGTCTTCAGAGAGCTATCTGTGTCGCCTGAGTTCCGGCCCGTTTTTGCAACAACCAACCAACCTCGCGAAACATGGTGAGACCAACCCGAACTCGGCTTGCCGATCTCACTGTGGCTCGCCACTAGGTGGCGCTTGGACGATGAGTGCTCATCATCCATAACCTCCCTTTGCTCTTACAGGGACTAAAGATTGACGAGCTGGCTCGAGCATCTCTCTCCCTCACGGATCCACGATCGGGCGCGACTTGGTTAGGGTCTTCATTGGGAATTTTCAGATACACGACGACGACGTCCGAAAAGAAACTCCTGGGACCTTAAGAATTGCTGCTAGAAACCAAAGTAGTCTCTCCGAGGTTTCATCCGGGCGCTTCTCCAAGCAAACATCAAAACAAAGCTAGAAGGTAAGCCGTGGGCCCCTCACCGCCACGACCGAGCCCTCCTCCACCTCGCCTCGAGCCTCGATCATGGGAGGTCTCGGAACAAACTCCGCCTCACGCGAGGCTCCCAAGGGTAGGCCTCTAGGGGGGCGCGGCGGCCTCGGCGCGGGGACGCCGCTCTCCGCCTCTCCCGAGGCTATCCAGGAAGGCCTCGCGCAGGGCACATTCTCCAGATCACGCGAGGCCTCATTCTCCAGATGTCGCGAGGCCTCGTTCTCCGTGTCGCCGAGGCCGGGCCGGCTCGTCGTCCAATCATCCGTCGCCCCACCCCCCGCCTGCCGACCCTCCCAACGACTCGTCATGTCTCATTAATGCTTCAACCACTCCCGCAATCCACCACCGGACGGTGGCTCAACGCCATAGGATGGCCGACCCGCGACCGAGTCGTCGAGGTCGATCGCCGCCATACCGGGCCGGACAAAGCCATCGTGGTCCTACATCGTGGTCCACGACAAGACCATACCGGCCGGGAAAGGACACGACGGGATTACCGACCACCGTGCTCTACCATCGTTGTGTTCCACGATCAAGACCATTACCACCATCGTGTCCAAACGCCGCTGAGTACCCATGATCGCCGCCCGCTCAAGGCCTATTAGCTTTATTATAAGTCAAACATAATCGGGGCCTCGGCGATCTTGGGGTATGCGTGCTCACGAGACCCCCCACCGCAGGCGGCCCGACATCGATAAGCATTCGGCGTCACAGACGCGATCCATCCACAGTGGCTTGTTTCGTTCGCCAAGGCCCACTCCGAGGCATTCTCGGGCTCCCACGACGCACAGACTGATGGGATGACCACGCCGCCAGCACTCCAAGGATGGACCACTCCGACGGCCACGCCGCCACACGAGAACAAATCATGTGGAAATCCGGACACGCCGCCCGCCTGTTCACACGCCAGATAGTCACTCATGTACCGCCTAAGTCCTCCCTTCATGCTATAAAAGGAGAGGACTGGGTTGTTTTAGAGGGGAACACCTTGTAACACACACGCACACTAAACCTGCCAGCCGGAGAGCAACGTCTCAAGCAGCCCAGATTTTGTACGGCACCTCACTATTGTCGAGACCTAGGACTTGTCTCTCCTTCTCTCCTTTAGCTTGTAACCCCCCTACTACGAACACCTCGGTGCAAGGAATACAAGATCGATCTCTCGGGTGGAAGTAGGGCCTCGATTGTTCGAACCAAAGATAAACCTTGTGTCTCTTTGCATCACCATCCGGATCAGAGCACGCAGAACAAATTCACTAGTTGGTTGAGGACCCCCTGGTCCGAAACACCGACAAAACTAATTACGAAACTAATTGCATAGCTTGTGACTAATTTGCGAGACGAATCTTTTAAACTTAATTAGTCCATGATTTGACAATGTAGTGCTACAGTAAATGTATGCTAATGACGAATTAATTAGACTCAGTAAATTTATCTCGTGAAGAACTGATAGATTCTATAATTAGTTTTTTATTAATATCTGAACACCCATATGAGCCCCCCCTCCACCCCACACACACACAACACGTGACACCACCGGATCCAAACACCCACTAAAACCTGTTCGTTTGGCTTCGTGGTAGCGCTGTTGCTGCTGAACTTCACTGTTGCAGCAGACTAAAAAGCCTGGTGCAGCAGCCTGAGCGGCTGTCTTTAAAGACCGTGATAGCAATCAGCCAGCAGCCGCGATAGCCTAGCCAGAGCTGTGTGTCTCTGCGCGCAATAACCAGCTGCGTCGCCTGGTCCTCTCTTAAATTACGTACTTGTACTGTAGCCTGGTTCTCTTAAACTACGTACTTGTTACTGTATATATACTGAGCTGGCGGCTTTTTTATTTTTTGCTACCGTGAGTTCCTAACAGAGCTACAGCAACCATAAACACTGACAAATCATATGGCGCGAGCCCTCGTAGCCCGCTAATCTTGTGAGACCGTCCTTATCGTCCATGCCGTAGCTTCCAGATTCACACTGACATCGTCCGGACTGACCTGATCCAACATAAAAATTTCACCATAATTAGACCGTAAAAACTGTATCTATGAATTAATTATAGAAAAATATAGATATAAAATTACAGCAAAAAAATATATTAAAACATACCATATTATATGTTCATTGTATAGATCTACTCATGTTGAGTTCAATAAAATTAGATTTTTTATTTTATATTTTTTCTATAATTTATTATTATTTTTTAAAATTTAGCTGAAATAAATAAAAAGAAAAGATAGAACCTCTATGAAAACCGTTTATAACTGATCAGGAGGTAAAACGAATGATTTTAAAGGTTTAGGGAGATAATTTATCCGGTTTTAAAGTTTAGAAAGAAAAAACAGATTTTCACGGAAGTTGCGGATGGTAATATGAATTTTGTCCTTCGCTGAACAAAATAGTAGTGGCCCAGGCAACAACACCAGCAAACAAACCCACGGCCCATGTCAGCCCAGGCACACCACAGTCCATGCGGCTCCTTCCCCAACCAGTCCACCAGGTCAGCAGAGTCCGTGGCATCCGACTCATCAGCACCGCGCACCCGCACTCCCCCTGACCGGTGGCCCCCTTGCCTCGCCCAATCCCCCCTCGCGTCGCGCTGTCGCGCACCCGTACTCTCCTCGCCCGCCGAACGCGCCACCTACACGGACACCTGGGCCGTTCCCCGCGCCCCGGTCCACGTGCCGTCCCTCTGGCCGGCTCCCGGGGACCAAGCGCCGCGCTGCCACCTCCCCCCGCCTTCCCGAAGCGACCAGACCTGAGAGACCCTTGCCCCCGCCGAACCCGCGCACCGCCCCTGTCTGTGTCCTGCTGCAGTGCCTCCGCCTCGCATGGCAGCTTGGGGCCAGCTGCGTGCAGTACACTTTTCTTCCGTCGTGTCCGTGCGCGCGCTGCCTCCCCTGCTGGCCTCACCCTCACCACCTGCTGCAGCACAGTAGCAGTACATGGCCATGGCGTCGTCCACCTCCACGACGTCGGGCGGCGACGAGCGCCCTCGCGCGCCCCACGCCGACACGTCCGCTGCGGCGGGGACGGCGCCGGCGGCGCCGCTGACGCTGCCGCAGGCGCACGTGGAGTGGGCCGCCTCGATGCAGGCCTGCTACGCCGCCGGTGGGCAGCCTTACGCCTGGCACGCCGCGCAGGTACGTGCGATCGACCGACCGACGGTGCCTAGTCTCTCTGTTCTTCCGCGCCGCGCGCGCGCGCGTTTAGGAGGTGGTCCGGGTCTCCGGGTTTGAATTTGATTGGGGTTTTGGTCAACTGTGGCGGTGGGATGCAGCAGCACCTGATGGCGGCGGCCGCGGCCGGGGCGCCGTACGGGACGCCGGTGCCGTTCCCCGTGTCGTTCCACCCCGCGTACTACGCCACGCACGCGTCAATGGCCACGGTGAACGCCGCTGGACCCCCTCCCTCGATCGTTTCATTTTCGGTGTGCACTTCTCTGTTTCCCTGTAGGTTCTACCGTCCTAGTGCTGCAGCTGGAATGTGAAATTGCTTGCTGGGTTTGGTTCTACGCAGAGTGTGCCCTACCCGACTGCTGAGCCGGTGGCGGTGGCCGAAGGGAAGAGCAAGAGGAAGAGCTATGGCGCCCCCTCTGGTGGTTGCACTTCCGGAAGGTGCTATTTCATTTTGTGCTAAAATGTGCTCTGCACGTCTGCACTGCGCGAATTCCTGATATGTTCAGTTGGTTTATTGAGCTGATTTTGAAATTATTGTGGTGTGCAAAGCAGTGCCGGTGGGAGCGAGAACTCATCAGATAAAAGAGATGCTAGTGCCCATCATAAGGTGCTCTGTTGGTCCTTACCTAAATGCAGCAAACTGTAGTGCTACCCAGGCCGTCTTGGTTGATTGTGAGTTTTATCTAGGTATTACCTTCTGTAAAGAGGAGAAAGTCCAGCGGCGCCAACGTACAAGGTTGGCTATCATAATCCGTAATGGTTGCTTATATAAGATACAATGCGGTAGCTTTCCTGTTTTGGTGGTATGCTTGGATCTGGTGTTGTTGCAGCCTGACTGTTGGCACTTTTCAGGTGAGCCATCGCAGGCTGCAACAGCTCAAAATGCTGCAGCTGAGTCACGGATCACAGCAAAAAAGAAGTCCGCAGCAAAACTCTCCATTTCGACACCTGAGATGGCTGCAACCTCCAATGTCAGACCCAACTTGAACATTGGGATGGAACTTTGGAGTGATTCTCCAGTTAAAGCAGATACCTCTGGACAGGGCGAAATATATGCTGCGGCGCCTTCCCAGCATGGCAGCGCTTTGTCGATGATGGTATGGTTATCTTATATATGGGAAATATACAGCGGCAATTGTCATTAACAGCAAACGTTTAAATCTCGAACTCCAATAAATATATAGCAGGTCCTCTCAACATCTTTGTCATGTGCTGTCTTTTGGCAGGATGAGCGAGAACTGAAAAAGGAGAGAAGAAAACAATCTAACAGAGAGTCAGCTAGAAGGTCAAGACTATTCAAGCAGGTACTGTCTAATAAAGATGTCTAATTGTACAACGAATGTTGTGGGGAGATTCGAATTGTTTTGTTCTAAAGGTCTCTTACCCTTTTTGCCTAGTTGAGTGCTAATTATGAGTGGTAGTATACAAGGAAAACTTTTAAAAATAGCAATTCTCAACTTGGCTAAGCATGTACTCTGAAAATGGTGTGACTGGCCTGATCATCTGGGAAGAACCTCAAATAATCCGTTACCACTACCACATGGTTAGACAAATGTAAGAAAATGTCTGACAAGCCTTGGGCGAGTTGGATAAACTCAGTCAATTTGAATTTGCAGATACTTTGTAATGCTTCTAGTTGTTTGGGAAGTTGATTGTGCCTATGACCTGTCCTGCTCCTCTACCATTAATATTGTGGGAATTCATCAATCTGAGTTCAGCTCCACATATCTAATTTGGCATTTAGATGGTCAGAAAAATGCAATTTTCTTGGACAACAACAAAAGAATTTGTGATATTAATGATAAAAAATTGTCTGCTACTCAAAGACACTTCTTTTTTGTTGGTACAATCAAACTGAAGATTTCACATTGCACTGCTTCTTTAGGGAAAGTATACACTGATCAGTTTCATGTCTTTGTTATACTACCCAGCAAGAATGTGAGGAACTAGCGCAGAAGGTAATTGACCTGACCGCAATTAATGGCACACTCAGATCCGAACTCGAGGAGTTTAAGAAGGCCTGTGAAGACATGGAAGCAGAGAATTCACAACTAATGGTAAACTTACCCCTTCTTAACTTGTTTGTCGTATTGAGCCATGAGCAATAACTTGTCTATATGTGGGTTATAATTGTAACACTTCAAAGTTCTCACGGTAGATTTGCGCTCCCCATTTTCGATTTGTGCAGGGTGAATTGAAACAGTTCGAGGCGCCTAGTGTTGTAACAACTTTGAGCATCCAGATTGACACATCAAAGGCACATCATAGAAGCAGCGACCAGCATGGTAATAAAAATAACACTGATAGCAAGGTGTAGTTCCGAGTAGCAACCATGAACTAGTTTTTAGCTCTATAGGTAAGGCTAAAAGATGAGATGAGGTGGTTAATATTAACTGCAAACCATCGCCCATCATCATCAGTCTTTTTGTCCTCCTTGGAACATCAATCATACTTTTTCTTTACTACCGTTCTATAAGCTACTCACAAGCATTTTGATACCAACAGAGTCTACGGCCTGTGTATACTGTATAGTAGCCATGTATGATGTATCAGTTATGGGCCTGCTGCGAAATGTGAGCGAACGAACTGCTTTGTAATTATCAGACTATCAGTTGTGGGCTTGTGCCTGCCTGTCCAGGGTACTTGTAAAACCGATTGATAGAAACCGGTTCCTTCATTTGGTAGCTATACGGTACTATCAGTTGTACATTTTGGGCTCCAAACTGATGACTGGCATATGCCTAATGCTGTAAAGCTATCATGATTGGATTTTTTTTTGGCTCAAGTAATTTATTTCCTTTCTGATACACACACCAGATGGACATGTGAAAAGATATAAGATAGCATGTCTACTAGTAACATTTTCCAAGACCACAGACCGTACCTTTTGCCAATGGAATCAAGTCCTCTCCCTGTCGAGCTTGCGTGCTTGGGCGCGCACGGCGCGCCAGTGCTCGTCGAGCGCCTTCCTGTGCCTGTCTTGCAGCGGCCTCTGCCGGTTCAGCGCGACGCCGAGCGCCATCATGGCGTGGTCCTGGCAGTCGATCTTCACAGGCGCAAGCAGGTGCCGCGGGATGTGGTCGCACAGCTGCTGGCTGCCCTCGGCCGCCCCGACGAGCGGCAGGAACTTCTGTCCGTAGAGGGCGGCGCGAGCCAGTACTCTGACAGGCTGCTCCAGTTCTTCACCTGGGCGACCATGTGCGGCGCTGCGGGCCGAACCGCGCGGCGCCACACATGATGTGCGCGAGTGCGCCGGCGACGCTCCTGAACCTGATGACCTCGCACACCATCACCGCGACGACCATGAGCGATCTCGCGGTGTCCTGCTGACTACTGCCGCCGGCGCCGGCGTTGGATCGTCGTCCAACCGCTGCGAGCTGCCCCACCGCGGCCTCGAGATCCTTCTTGCTGAGGGTGACACTCTCCAGCTCTAACCCGGCCGCTCTCCCCATGCTCTCGTAGCTGTCGGTGAAGGCGAGCTGCGTCGCGGCGTGGATGACCGAGCCGCCCCGGAACTCCCACCACCGGCCGTCGGGGCTCTGGTAGCCGGAGATGTAGAGGTTGTCGGCGCGTACCCGGAGGAGCACCGAATCTCCGGAGGAGCTGCACCGGAGCGCGACGCGGAACCACGGTGCCTTCCTGGGGTCCTCTTCCTGTGGCTGGAGCAGGACGAGCTCCAGGTGGCGCGTCGCGCCGGCGTGAAGCACCAGCTGGTTGCGCACGCCGGAGATGAACCAGCCGTAGGACGAGCCACGGGACACGTCGAGCTCCTCCGTGAACGCTGGGTCGTTCTCCTTCCCCATGGCAGGAGTTGTTGTTTCAGCTAGCCGCGAGCGAGCCAAACGAAGAGGACAAGAGGTCAGCACGGAATTCGCATTTCACAGGGCAGCTCGGCCACGGCTATGCACATCCAAGTTGCATTGACTTCTAAACATATACTCCGTACATGAGTACTGTATTATACTCCATCCGTTTTTTATTAGACGTCTTATTAGCTTTATTATAAGTCAAACATTTATATCTTTGGCCATTGGTTTCAAAAAATTTATATAGATTCATGTCATAAGATTTATGTTTTTAGATTCGTTATGAGAAATATGTTTACTATATAATTCATACACTCTGAAATTATAATGATTCTTTTAAAAATAGATGGTCAAAGATAATAACATTTGATTTAGAACAAAGCTAACGTGACATGCAAAAAAGACCGGAGGGAGTATTAGATTAAAGTTTAAAGAGCACAGGAACCATCAAAGGCTTCCAAGTTGCTAAGATTACTTGGAGAATTATGATTGCTGCTTGAAAGCAAGTTTAAGATGGCACTATAGACATAAAAGTATAACAAAACACCACTATAATTTGCATAGGATCTCGATCAATCACCACAATAATAAAAATGGCAATATGGTACATAAAAATCATATGGTCGGAAATAATAAAGAACATGAAGCATCGCCATAAACACATCGCGTAAGTTTAGTTGATAAGTACAAAATACATTAATATGATGGACTTTTGTGCCCATAGCAACGTACGGATATTTAACTACCTGTCCCTAAAATCTTGTTTAGATTCTATGTTTATGTTTATGCTTTCCATGGACTTTTGTGCCCATAGCATCTATACGAGATTGGTATAGTTTACTCGTTAAACTAATAGATCTAGCAAGTTAATAGAAGAAGTAGAAACTTTAAATTTTATCTTTTATAACAGTCTCCTATAATAGCTTCCTAAATGATTTTGCATTTGGAACCTCAAACTATTTTCTAAACAATCATTTTTTTAATAATTTCGTTGTCTCTTACCTCTTTCTTGTCATTCTCATCTGGACCCCTTTATTTACTCATATGTTCAATTTACTTCGATCTCCGAAGAAAAACGTAGGAAGGGGGAGCAAATACGAAGTTCCTCTTGACTGTGAAAACTTAGGAGTTAGAGAAGATATTTAGCAACTTTTTATTTTTAAGAGGCTCTTTTTTTTTTTACCAAACTAATGTAGGATTTTTTTTTTTTTTAGCTAAAAAAATTAGAATAGGGAGTTGTTTTGCAAAACTTCCAGAGATGCTTTACCAATAACGGACTTCTTGCTTGGAAGCCAAACCGATCTGAAATGAGCTGTTATTGTTCCCTACTTAGGGCATGTACAACGGACAGACAGCTGCTGTCTGTAAGTTTTTGGGATTTACAACATAGACAGCTAAACAGACAGTTCATACAACCCACAGACAGCTGCTGTCTATTTGACTATCTACAAATCGTTTAAATGCTTGTATGTAGCCGTGATCAATCATGAAAATTATTTCTATGTACCATTATGTGTACCATTGTGTTGCTAATTGATACAAAACAAATCCTTCAAAGTAAATCATATATATTATATATATAATGTAATATAATATATTTCATAACTCAAATATAACATATGATCTTCTTCCCCATAAATCAAATATGATTTAAACATTTATGTCTAATTTTCTTTGTTTCCATAGCATTTCCATATATGCTCGACAAGATCATCCCTAAGTTGTTTATGTGTTGGCCGTGCTTGGATAGCGGAATTCCTTCTAAGCACCTCCGCGAAGCATGGATTGGGGTTATCACTTGTATGCACTTCAGGCGGGAGCACTATTGTCGCACTTGCATTCTCATTCAAATCCAAGGAAACTCTAACCAATTTCTTCTCATCCTCCACTATCATATTGTGAAGGATAACACAAGCTTGCATTATGTTGATAACGTCCCCCTGCTTCCATAACCTTGATGGTCGACGAACAATATCAAAGAGGGATTGCAATACGCCAAATGCGCATTCGACATCTTTCCTCGCTCCTTGCATCAATGCAAACAATTTGTCTTCATCCGTTTGAGGGGTTGATATTGTCTTCACGAAGACCGCCCATTCTGGATATATTTTATCGGCGAGATAGTAGCCCATATCATACTGTGTTCCATTTACGGTGTATTGTACCCTTGGAGCTTCCCCTTTTAGGACATTGATGAACCGTGGTGACTTGTTTAGGACATTGATGTCGTCCGAAGATCCGGCGGTACCAAAAAAAGCATGCCATATACGAAGATTATGAGATGCCACTGCTTCAAGGATCATAGTAGGAACACCTTTGTCACCACGTGTGAACATGCTTGCCCAACCTTTCGGACAATTTTTCCATGCCCAATGCATACAATCGATGCTTCCCAACATTCCTGGAAAACCACGAGTCTCATTTTCTTGTAAATTTTTTTCTAGTTCATCGCTTGTAGGAGGGCGCGGGTACTCTTGATCAAAACATTCAATCACCCCTATGGCAAATTTTCCTAGAATCTCCAAACAAGTGCTTGCCGCAATTTTTAGTACCTCATCAAGTTGGTCGGCCAGCGAGCCATATGCTAGCATCCGGATTGCCGCGGTACACTTCTGAAGGGGTGAATGTCCATCCCTACCAGTTGCATCAACTCTTTGGGTAAAATAAGGATCCCAATTGCTAAGAGTTTGCACGATGCGTAGGAATAACGGTTTATTCATCCGAAACCTTCTACGGAACATCTCATCGGTGTAGATAGGATTTGTAGAAAAGTAATTAGCGACGAGATCATCATGACCTGCTTCTCGATTCCTTGGTATGTACCTCCTTGGTCCACTTTGTCGGCGGCGGCGAGTCACACACGATGTGCGTCCTTCGATGTCAGCCTTCAATCCATCTCCAATCTTCCTCACAAATTCTTCTACAATTTCATCCTCCGCTAGGAAATCTTCCATGGTGAACACCTCTGTAGGATCAAAGTCATCGGCTTCTGGTAGATTATCTTCATCATCGTTTGGTGGATGTGGTTCCATAATACTGGTAAAAACAACTACAGATCCTATGCCGATTGAACGGAGCCAAGCCACCTTTATGTAGTCGGTGGACAATTTCACAAGGAAACATGCAGACAGTGGGCTGTTTCACATAGGATACATGCAGATAGGTAACTGAAAAATCAAGTGACATGCAAGTAACTGAAAAAGCATCACATGCAGGTAACTGAAAAATCAGACGTTTGGCACATTCACAGAGGGAGACCTACAAACATTTGACAGGTTCACACAGCAGGTTCCATACAGCTAAGACCGAAACACTAATACTGAAACAAAGACTGAAAATTATCAACTATGGTCCTCTACATGTACCCTCCTCTGCTGTAGCCTGTACTAGGAAGAAATGGCAAGTACCAAGCTTGACACACTAGCAATAAACCATGCATACTCAGCTCAGGTCCTGAGCTACTACATTTGATACGGCCTAAATGTTGATCACCATTAGCCTTCCAGTTCCAGCTGCCACTCAAAAAACAATTAATTAATTAATTGTGCAGGGTACTTAGCTTCAAAACCTGGAATTCCAGATGCTACTGTACAACTGAAGATTGCTGATAGTATATTCTTTCTTACTGGTAAAGTATATTTGCTTAATGCCATCAGACAACTAAGATTGAAAATTATTATGCCATCGGACAGCTAAGACTGAAACACTAAGATTGAAAATTATCATGCCATCGGTAGAATTTCCAGCATATCTCACCATGGCTTTCTCCTTTTCCCTGCTAGTAGAAATGAACAGATATATTAAGGATGGGTGCAGGCAACTGACAAGTAACATACATGTAACTGAAACAGCTTCCTAAAACACTTCATAGCAGCAACATGCTCAGCTTTTCCTTCATCGGACATTGAACTTGTATCTTGAGAGATGAGAGTGTTGTAAGTATGCATCATCCTTGATTCCTTCTCAAGCCTTTTTGCCTCGGTGGTCTCTTTAGCTGTAAGATGTGCCAATCTTGTGGTTTCAAGCTTCTCGATTGATAACTTATGTTGTAGTTTCAATACCTTCATGCGGTTTGCATTTAAATCTTCTTGGATTTTGCTAAATTTGTCAAGCTTCTCTACATCAATCGCCGATGAAGATGATTTTCCATCATCATCCAAATTTGAGCCTTTGGACTTCCCTTTTGCATCACGAGCGGCCTTTTTTGCTGCCTTCTGTCCAATAGGTTGCTCAGGCATTTCTTCAATATCATCATCTTCCTCCACTTCTCATTCAATGTGATATGACTTCCTTTTACGCGTATTCCTTATGTCTTCATTGTATGTTTTCCACTTTGGCACCTCTCGGCATATTTTCCAAACATTATTTAGCACAAAGGGACCTAGCTTTGCCTTTTCGTTGTCTACCAAATAGAACTTGTCTGCTGCATCAATCCACATCTGATCAGAATACCCACTTGTGAATAGTCTGCGAGCCTTCAGATATGCACATTCATACAGATCAGTCCATCGATTAATCTTGTGCCATCGATCCTTGGCTTGCTTTGAATTTCTTTTCCTATGTGATGGGATAGTCATGTTGTATGACTTAACAACATCACCCCAATAGTGCTCGTTATTCCTATCAGCTCCGACGGATGAATCTGTTGAATTTTTCAACCAAGCACTCATCAATTTCTCGTCTTCTTCTGGTGTCCACATGATCCGCTTCTCAGTCCTGACATTCTCCATATCGCTATCAACATCAATAGCCTGTTGGTCAGATAAAACTTCCACTTCTTGAGACGAACTTCCACAGTTGTTAGGCTGTGGTCCATCCACTGAGGCAAAACTGATGCCAACATCAACAGGCCTTGGTGCCTTGAAAGGTGCATAATGAGATGGAACACCAACAAAATGTGAATTCTGTGATAAATGGGGTTGGTTGTTGAATAAACCCATAAATCCACCAGGGGGATGTGTGCTGTTGTCCCTGCAAGTATATATTTCTTATCAAAT